TTGGAGGAAAGCCGATCGAAAGGGATAGGCCTCGCTATGCTGCAATACGTGGCCAAGTTTGCCGCGGTTAAAGGATGTGCGAGGGTTGAATGGGAAGCCCTTGATTGGAATGTGAAAGCTCACGAGTTCTATGAGAGAATCGGCGCGGTAAAGATGCCCGAATGGATCAAATTTAGACTGAATCGCGATGGCATATCTAAAGTAGCCACCTCGTTTTGAAGAGTCATCAAATCAGCGTTGTGTTCTTGCCAGTGTGATGGGCGGCAGTCAAAATCAACACACAGGAATGTACCCGAAGGACACCCCACTATCTCGAGTTAACAAGGACTAATATGACAGTAATCGGCATCAGACTGATGCCATCAGTCGTTCCATTCGTTATGAAGTTGCGGAGCGACCGAAACAAGCGGAGCATATACCGCAACAACAGGCACTTTCTCGTTGTGCGAGCGTGCGTGTGTATGATGGGGTTGACAATAGCCTCGACTTCCTTCTGCTTAGCCTCAGACTCTTCTTTCTTCCGAGCCAATTCTTATCTAATCAGGAAAGGGTATCATCAATAGCCTTCTCAAAAGCTTCTCTTTGGATTTCTCCTTCGTCAGCGTGTTCTTCTCGAGAGCGTTCTTAGCCTCAACCTTCTCCTCTTATTGGCCTCGTCCTCAGCGTTATACTTCTCAGCTTCATCAACCATGCGATCGATATCAAACTGAGAGGGACGACCCTTCTCGTTGGTTATAGTTATCTTGTTGCTCTTCCCGGTAGACTTATCCTAAGCTGAGGATACCATTGGCATCAGTATCGATATCGATATATGACCTCCTGAGTAACATGGTCGATTCTTACGCTTTGAGTCTTCCATGCAGAAGTCGAGGATGCGGTTATCGTAATCCTCACCACCAGCAGTGGCCTTAACCTCGAAGATACCATCCTCGAGGGTCAAGAGGGAGACATCGAAGGTTCCGCCACCAAGATCGTAGATGAGAAGGTTCTCCTCACCCTGCCCCTTAGCAGCGGCAGTCGGCTCATTGATAGTACGAAGGACGTTGAGACCAGCAATAGAGCCAGAATCATTATTGGCCTGTCTCTGGGAATCGTTGAAACGGGCGGGCACAGTAACCACAGCATCAGTCACCTTACCACCAAGGAGGCCCTCAGCAGTCTCCTTCACCCTAGTGAGGACCATATAGGAGATCTCCTCAGCATGGAACTGCTTGGCTTCGACAGTGTCGAATCGACACCTTTATAATGGACCTCATTAATTGGTTTGTCATCAGCGCCTCTGGTCACCTTGAATGACCACAGCTCCATACCGTGCTGGACCACGGGATCATCGAACTTACGGCCAATCAGTCCCTTAGCATCAAAGGCGGTGTTCTCGGGGGTTAAAATCTCTTCTGAATTGTTCGTGGCTTTCCCAAGCCACCTGAATACGGTACCCAGGGGTCGTGGCCAGTCTGATGAACATCTCCGCGCGGCTTTTACGGTTTACCCAGTACCATTCACAGTGACACTTTATGCAGCAATAGTTACTTCCCGAACGCCGTCGCCGTGAATCGAGAGAGTAGATCATCCTAATTGGGTATACTCTCGTCAACTCAACAACGTAGCAAGATAACATGTTATCTAGCGAGGGGACATGCACAGAGTTGCTTCAACAGTCTCTCTGATCGTCGAGCTCAGTGCTGTCTCCAGTGACTCCCCCAGAGTGTCCACCTCTCCAGTAGCGATACGAAGATCAATGCGATGGGTATCCCCACGAACAGCACGGTCGTTGTCGAGCTGAACAATCGACATCATCCCAATACCCACCGTCAAAAAACTGAATCAGCATAGTAGATAGTCTCAAAGGCATACGACACATACCTCAACTATAGCTCGTATGAGTACGAGTTTCATCCACGTCCTCTTGAATTGTTCGACGGCCGTCTTCGTGTACGAGGTCGGAATCTGACTACAAAAATCTGTACTTACCATGCAAAGTGCACTAGCAGCAGTCATGTAAATCAACCTCTTAAGATCAATCGCTTCGAGTGAAGACATACGCGTTGATCTTGAGCAGGCCGTCACCCTCCTGTGGGGACTGCACTAGTGTTGCATGACAGTCACCGAGGATGGGCAGAAGCTGTTCCCGGTAGTGTTCGAGTAGTCGCTCATGAAAGGTTGTTCGCAGCTCCATGTCTATGAAAGGCAAGGACTGGCATTCTAACGCGGCCTTGAAAGTCCTAACTCACTGTTGTGGAGGAGGAGTATATCGTCCAGCGAGATCACATCGAATACGTGAATGCAATGCAGCCCGCGAGGTTTGCAGTACTGGAACTGAGATTTCCTCAGTTCCCAAGCTGATCTTGTGAGATAAACCCTATCGTAAATCTGCAGAGGTCCAGGGAGTAAGGCGACGATGAGAGCGCACAACCGTGAGATATCGCTGACGAAGGAGTGAGTCAGCTGCCCTTCTTTTTGCACCAGAGGACCACTCCTCTTGCTTGTCTCGGCCTCTACCATAATATCGACAGGTTCATTCACGAGCGCGACTGGCTTGGGTTTCGCGAAAACCGAAAAATGAGGGCCTGGTCCATCTTTCAGTCCAAGATCGGGAAGTTTGCTGGCCTCTGCCCCCAAGCAGTAGATTCGTTCCTCTTGGTTTAATGAAGTGTTCCCCTCGTATTCGTATTCGGATGCCACCACTTGCTCTCTAGTCCCCTCAACAATCCCTCCCGATTCAGCACTTAGTGCAGGAGAAATGCTCCGACTCGTAGACGGAGAATTCTGACGCGACCTCACGGGTGTTATTCTAGCTTCTTCTTGTAGTACACCCGTGCCAGGCTGTATCGACGTAGTAACGTCTTCACGGTCGCCGTACTCGGACATGAACGATGGTCCATCCACCGCATGGCCCTCGCATGGCCTGGTCGGCCTATCAAGGTCACGTTCAGGGGCCCTCGCCATCGGGCTTCCAGATCGCGAGCGTAATTTATTTTTCGGTTTCTCACAAGGAGTTCGCGGAATCGGACGTTCACATGCCTCCGTCCCGTTGCTCGTGAAGAAGTCTATTCGTTGTGAAACCTTCTCGCTGCATTGATCTTTACGTTCAACATTGTGAGGTACTGCATGGCCGAGTAACTGAACCCGGAGAGAATTTCTTCCGCGTATCAGTAAGCCGCTCACATTATTGTGGATCCATAAGAGCTGTTCATACCATCGTTCCACCAGAGCCTCGGCCGTGAAGGTGCCACAAGGGGGCACTCGATAGTCCGGTATGCGTGCAAGAGGATTCGGGCGGGAGGACATCCACGGTTGGGTTGGATTTGAACAGGGGATTCCTCGGAGGCGAATCTTGGGCACACCACTAACCATATTTGCAACTTGTGTTCTCTTAGGGCCACTCTTGTCCCCTCCAGTGTCTCCTGGGGTCTCCATGTGTGCATCACGGATCGCAATTCACAATGGACTTCTGATTGACAAACTCATCACCAGTGTTTGGATTGAAACCACATCACTGCTGCATGGTAGGATGCAGACGGAGTCATCTCTGGAATAGTATCGAAGAGTAGCTGCCAGTCGTAGCTCTCGATAGGTTGATACACCCCAGTAACAATCCTTGACCTCCTTGTGCTAATCCTCATACACTCGTATTGAGATATATGCTGACCATGGGAACCTGATAAAACCCCAGAGTTGGTCGAGCATGTATCTGCTTCTTATCCCAGCTAGTTTATAACTAGTCACAATAGCGACCAGTGTCTCAACCCTCAGCTGGGACCCTGACCATGAAGGCAGCTGATACAAAAGTAGGGATCATCTAATCTTTTACTTCACCCCTAGCAGTGGACGACCACGAGTTATTGAGTCAGGATAGGAGTATAAGCCTCTTCTGGGAAGGCTTCGTTTCCTCCACCGTCGACCCACATAAAAGTACACTCGAGGCTCAACAGAGGCAGAGCTGCAGAAACGATTGTCGCAAGAAACGAAGTGACAACTAAGGCATGCCAAATGAAGGGGTAAATGGGCGGCGAATTACGAAGAGAATTGCATGCGGACGGCGGCCGAGACCATCGTCAGGAGGTTCAGCGCTTACGCGATACAGTCCACGTCCCTGACAGCTCAGTCGGGGAAAATCGAGGCCGTCGCCGTCGCTCCTTCGGCTGATCACAAGAGGAAGGATTCCAAGTGCCCATAAGTTGTTCCACCCAAGGTCACCTCCACAGAGCCTCCCAGCCCTGGTCCAGCAGCTGACTTGCTCCTCTCGATGGCCGCATCTTGCTTCCTATGCTTCTTCATCAGCCTTTCGAGTGCCGCTGAACTCCTATTAACCTCCTCTGTAGTGAGTCGGTCCATCAAGTTAGCCGGGTCGGCCAGGTCTGTGGATGGACAACAATTAGCATATCTCAATAGAGTTGTATTGCTCAGAAGGAGACCCTATAGCCGTCCCTCCAGCATAGTAAAAACTCGACACACTCCAGTGCTACGCCCCCACCAACCCCACCTTGTACGACAGGGTCACCTCCCGGCGTCGAGTCCAACCTCCTTGTCATCTTGAACCTGGGCTTCTGGTCACCCGAGGGCGCTGCTGGCTGGTCCTTCTTCATAAGACGATCGAGGTTGCCCAACCTCGATCGTTCTAACTTGAGGGGACTGACCGCGACCGATGGTCGTGACCTGAGCCATGGGTAGTCGCTGATTCACAACCGGAGGCCAGTCGAGGTGGTGCTGATTCAACCTACTTCTGCTGTACAGTTTCCGTTGGTTTATCTCTGCTATAATACGGCTCATGATGGGGATTAAGGGAGGCCAACTTGGGGAATCTGGCGTTACATCGTCCCAAAATAGGATCTTTTCACCCAAGCATAATCACCGTAGTTTCTTGGTCGCTATATGATCTCCTTCATCTCGTATACCCGACATCTCCGCCTTCGCCGCCTCCATCTTCGCCTACCAGCATTGCTCAGTACCCTACTCATAGACCCCACCCTAACCTGGCTCGAGGACGTGTCCAATACCGGCGACCAGTCAGGCCTGGCCTCGGTAGCATGTACCGCATCCTCGATGGCACTCGTCGCCCCAGGGTCCGGCATGGAGGAGTTGGGAGCAGCTAGAGGGGAGGTCCGGTAGGTCCTGATGGCAGGCATTATGGCAGACACATAGGAGAAGGTGAGCCCACCCTATGTCGATATCTGGCTCCACTAACTTCAACGATTCCTTCGATCTAAGCTTGGTCCACTGATCGAATCTGAAGTCCTCTCCATCACGGCCCCTCCTACTCCTCCCCTCCTCCTCTTCCCGAGCCCTCCGCCTATCTAAAACACACAGAGCATCCCATGCTCATCCCTCCCCCCCAGAGTCTGACCTGCCCTCCTGCCACCTCCCGCCGGTCGACCCATCTCCTCCTGCTTCTCCTCCAACGCCATTTGCAGGACTGCATCTCGCATGCCCGGCCCTCGATCGAAAGCATCCTCTTCCCCTATACTCTCCAAGGCCAGCTTAGCCTCCACCAACACATCCTCCTCCTCCGCACTCAGTAGCTGCCGTCGGTCCGGGGCCGCCACTTCCACCCCATCCTGATGGACCCATCACAATCGACAGACCCTCGGGCCTCACCTCTTTGTCCAGGAGGTTCTCCCTGGGGATCTTCGAGGGACTCTGTCGCGCACCACTAATTTGCCCCCGTCCTGCTGCGGACATTGCATCCAGTGGCACTCGTTTAAGGAACGATAGCATCTACCACACCTCCGTCACTTCCCCCTCCCATGCTCATCCTCATACCTTATCCTCTTTGAATCGATCTGACTCTGACCAGAGGTGCTTAGCGAAGTTGGGGTAGAGGTCGAGGAACTCTCCCGGCTTGGACAGGGCCGTCGGGTTCTTATAGAACCTGCAGGGGCCTCCACCACTGCCCCCTCACAACCCCTCTTACACCACCCCTTGGGACGCCACCGGATCCACCCTAACTATCCTCTGCATCTCCCTCAACACCTCTGCCCGCCTCCCCTCCCCCAACTCCTGGTCATCATGATATGAACATAGTAGAGTGGCCAAGTCCCGTTGCTCCCGTATCTGACCAGCAGCCCTCAAGTGCCTCTTCCTCCTCCTCCTCCCCTACAGCCTCCCCATTGCCGATCCTCTCGATATCCTCCGGGGCCACATCGACATAACCCCCACTCTGAACCCCTCGCTCATGCATGGGCTGCTTGGGGAGATCGTCCAAGTTGACCTTGTTCTCTTTCCTTTTATCCGACTCCAACTGGGCCGCCTTCTGGTACCTTCATCAGCAGATGATCATCCAAAAACCTACAATGTTCCTGATGGGAACTCATTCTGAGTCTCCTGATTTTCAATCAGTTTCCCATGTAAACACTAACACATTCAAAGCATTTTCCCACTTGGGAAGGCTAATTCTCAGCCGAATGCCCCCCTACGAGCCCCCCCCCTGGGCTGAGCTCTTACTTCATGTACTGCCTATTCACGAACTGTATTCTCTCATGGTCTTCATCCCGCAACTTATGTTCGAACCTCCGAGTGACCGGTATATCATCCAAGGAGTCCAGCTGTATTAGTGACCCTGGTCGACAGCAACTCCTCCTGCTATATGCGGACCCCACGCTACCGTCCGATAGTCGAGTAGTTTCTGCACTGCCATGCCCAGTAGGCGCCCCAGAGGGCTGCTCCACATTATCATCTTCCAACACTACTGTCGGTTTCATCATTCCCTCAACCTAATAGGACCCCATACTAGATGCCCTACAGTAGATGCCCGACCCTCTCCTCCTCAACCCACTCGTCCGCCTCTCCCTCCTCCCCTGCCTTCATTTGATTGTATATGACCTGCGGCCGCCAACACCCGTTTCCTGTCTTCGCTGGCAACCAGTGTTTACTTTCTGCTTTCGGCTGAGTTTTTTCGGGAAGTGCTCACTCGAAGGGTTCAACATCGCGACCATCCACTGAGGCATGTTGTACTTCTTGGCTTCTTCCTCCTGAGTCCAGCCATGGAATGCCAGTGTGGGAAAATATGCACACGTATTGGTGACAATTCAGAAATTCTGGAAAATTTCGGAAAATTTCTTTGTCGTTCCGATACAGTGTTTAAGTTGCTGTTATTCACGGAGCTCCTGAGCCCAGCTGAGGAGAGCGAGCGCATATCTCCAACAGAGTGGAATTCCGCTTTCAAACACTCCATCCCTCCCTACCAATTCCTTCTTCTGGAACTTCTCCTTCGCCAGTTGCTTCATCAACTCCCCCGCGGTCTTCCTATCAGCCAGAGGGATGTCCCGCATGTCAGAGGTTTCACGTAAGTACCTTATCACACTCATAGACCCCTCCCGAGCAGCCTCCAACTCACATTGACATCCTCTCCAATACGTAAGATGCCGCCTCAAAGGTGGACCCACTCAAATGGTATATAGGGTACACGTCTGGCCGCTGTATATGAATTCTAAGAACCCATAACAACTCTAACACTAAAATGAGCCCCCTGCTAACCTACCGGCACACTTGAGCAAGGCCGAAGAGCACCTTAGCCACATCTCCCACCGTAGCCTTCTCACCGTCCCCCTCCTCCTCAGGGGGTAGTACCCTACAGGGACAGTCCCAGACTAGCCTAGCAGACCCCACTGGTCACTTGAAGAGGGAGCAGCGGTCCTTCTTGCTGCACTGTCGACACGTATGGACTTCCGTCAAGTCGATCCACCGTCTGAGCCTCTTACTAGCATATATGATCTTCCGAGGGGCCGACTCTTGAGCCGCCACCTTCACCAGGCCTGAGGCGACCCCTACCCCTCCCTCACAACTCGCCCCCCTACTCTTGCTAGGGATCACCACTGGACACTCCATGGCTGCCAGGGCCGCCAGGTAGTTGAGGAACTTGGGATCTCGAGCTGTCTCAGCTTTGACGAAATCCGGTAGATTCACACACTCCGTCCGTTGCCTACGACCATGGACCCCTGCCCTCCCAGACTCCCACACACGACCTCACCATACAGCGCGCCTCATATGGGCTCGACTGCTCGGAGCCCTACATCCGCACACCTCCACCCCGAAGGTCGAGAATTGCTGCAGGAAGCCCAGAGCTACATTACGGTGGTGTGTCTACGACGGAGGTGAAGAGCAATAAGAATTCCCTCCCTACCGCTAGGGCCTCCACTGGGGCCGCCGGATGCCTTTTAATATGTTGTATAGATGCCTCATAGAGTTGCTTCAGCATAACAGACCAAGACTGGGCCCAACTCGACCAACCTTATTGAGGAACGCAACCACTGAGAGTGTAGTAAACTCCGTTGAGCCGAGACTGTGAGCTCTAACTTCCGAGACTGGTGCCCTTCTGAGACCTATGGCCTAGTTACTGCTGGTGGCTCTCCTCGCCCCCCCTCACTAACCTCTCCCGGGTCAGGCTAATCTACGAGCCCCAGCCAAGGCTTCAAGACGACTGGGCACAGCAATGAGCCTCCGATCGGTCGCTACTATACAGAACGAGGAAGACAGCACTCAAGGCGCCGCTGTTGACGCGTTTATACTGCAGAAACTCATCAAAGCCTACTCCATAACCTAGTAGGAAGAGCACTCTTTCAATACCCGTCTAGACCCTCGAGGGCATACCCTGAACTACCATCCTATGGGACATGCACCCGGTCGGAGCCTTAGGAGCCGCTGGTCTATCACGTGTTCAAACACTTATGCCTTCTTGTTATCACAGGGGTGACCAGTCAATGATCGACACAATTCGACTGACACCATTACTACCCTCCGCCGAGCCGGCCTAGGTCCGGAATCTATACCGCCCCCCCCCCCCCCACATGGTCAATGCAGAGCCTACAGGGTAAGGCAAGGACGATGCGCAGAGAGCAGGATAAGACCACCATTAGTTCAAACCCACAACACTTGACAACAGTTCCCCCTCCTCAAAAACGAACACGCCAACCCCATCATCATAAGACAATTTAGCAGTATTATGGTAACGACGATAGCAGCCCGCATCTCTAGTACCCTCGACCATAACCTGACAGGAGAAATCTGCTCTTAGCACGTGTCGAATAAGATAGATCGTATCGCGTCCAGAAGACCAACACCTCCTCAATGGCATTCCTCATTACTACTTCCTCCTCCCTTGCCCCCCATTTCCCTCCAATACTCGGCCTCATCATTGCTGGCCGCCGCTGGCTGTGGTGGATACTCTCCCGAGCCCCTCGAGTCTCTATAACGTCGCGACTCCGACCTCTCATATCGTCCTCGCGATTCTAAAAACGCCCTACTTGTCACCATCCCACCCCTTCCTTCCCAACTACTACTACCTCCTCTAGATCCTCGATCATCCCTCGACCTACTCCGGTGCCCTTGATCCCTAGACCGCCGTGCTCCTCCACTACCATCCCCCTCTTCCCTACGATGGACTCTCGAATGCTTCTGTCTAAACGTCTCCCGAACATGCCTTGCCTCTTCAGACGGCTGCCAGTACCTTCAACATACCACTACTGTGTGAGAGAAGGTCCTCTCGAGCCTTACCCTCGAGACTCTAGCCAATCCTCAATCTGCATGGCCGCCTCTCCTACCAAGTCGATGATCTCATCCCGCCTGAATACATTAGGATCGCCATACTGGTCTACTACGATACACTATACAGCCCCCTCGCCCATCACTGGCTCATCTTGAGCCTTTGTAATTCTAGTGACACCATCTGGACGAACGTTGGACATTCATCCGACACGCTCGTACTATAAATGCATCTTCTAATGAGCCGCCCCTTCCCTACTTTGCTAACGTACGATCCTCTCGAGACAATAAAACCAACGATTATCACGTCCCGTTCGTCACTCGTGCCAGCGCCCCGCAATAATCGTTTTGAGAATTCCATTGCAACCCTCCCAGCTGCCCTACTGCCCGCCGCCTCCCTCCCCTACCCCGGGCACTACCTCGTCCTCATAGCCCCTGATATCTGAGACCCAGGGTTCCCGGGGAGTAATGGTGTAACATGTCGGCCAATGGTCATAGGCTTGCCGAAAACAACATCAGTAGGAGGGTACCTAGGGTTAGAACCTCCATCAGGTAGGAGGGCAATGGGGGGGGGGGGCAAAAGGAACTATCATCAGGAGAAGGAAACACGACCGGTACTACAGCTTCACGGTCTCCTTCGACTTCTCCACCCGAACAACTCGGCCACGATATGGTATCTCGCCCACTCGAATCGCCTCCTACAGAACACGACGAACAGGCTTACGACACCAGCCGACGTGATAAGACCGAAACGTGGTATCATACTACCTGGGCCGCGGCCTCATTCTGGAACTCTACCAATGCAAACTGGCATTGGTCATAGGGTGACTGAGGAAGTAATGCCGTAGCTGGGCATCGAACCGGAGACCTTCTGCTTACCACGTCTATGGAAGATTCCTTGATCTCCCCAAAATGGCCGAACATTCCCTGTACTTCCTCTAATGTAACTTGGTTCGCCAGTCCCGATACGTACACCTATTAGTACATCCCACATCATACCACTCCTTTTCCACATCGCACCCACCGTCCTCTTCAAGATCATCTCCTCGCCTGAGTCCCTCACCCCTCCACCAACAGTCGTGACTCCAACGCCTGGTTGTGGGCGGATCTAAGGCCCCACATTAGCCCCATCAACAACATATCTCTATTACACTAGTAACTGAAGCGGTCAGCTGTTGAGCCGCTGGGACACCCTGAAAAGAAGCGACTATCGTAGGAGATGAACCCCCATGGGTCATACAAGGTTAGGCAAGGGAGCCGCGGCAGTGGCAGAGGCATTAGCCGCTACAGGGTCAGTCACTGACACTGTTAGGGGGACCTGAGGAGGAGATTCCCTATACGAGAGAGTATCCCAGAATGGCAGATTACTCCATGGAAAGGCTGCCCATTGAGGGAATGGGCAGCTGTTACACCGTTGGAAGTGCCGAAGTCCACACGGGCATATCTGACCGACTACTATAGAACCACCATCGGCGACTCCCATACCTCAAGCTGGTGCCAGGGAAGGTCATTATCTGGACGTTGATGACCCTGTCCAGCCGCGAGAAGAGGTCTCGGAGGTTCTGCTCATTGGCCTGGACCGCTAGGTTACGGACGAAGATTGTATTGGTTTGCCCCTCCATTTGTGTCACCACAAGGGGACCACTAATACTGATGAACCCTGCTAGAGTGACTAGGGTACTCCAACACGACAACCAATATCAAAGAGGAGAAGCAACGTCATGAAGAGAAAGTCAAAGAATTCTCTACTACCATCTCGAGGGTAGATTTGAAACTCTGCAGAAAAATATGAGGAACCAGGTTACATACGAAACAGTATTGTCTAGTGCATTAATAGCAAAGGGAATAGGTGGGCAAGGATAAGCACTATGCTCCCGTGTATTAGTATACTACAGCAAGAGTCGGCCTCGGGTCCAGAAGAAGCTCACCTGTTGTCGTGGAGGTAAATACACAGTCTAGCATCATCCTCTGTCGCAAAAATAAGAGTGAATTAGGAGTGCGATGATTATCACTTCCCACAGCTCAATGTTGGTAAACTTTTCCGTGGGTATTGAGCGAAATCGTCTCCGAAAGTACCAATTTCGCTGTGTATCCTGGGAGGTAATTTGGCGCGCGCCCGGGGCCCATCCCCCGCCCTGTGCGCGGAAATGTCAAGTGTGTCAGGGGGACATCCACAGAGACTTATAACACCTCCAACGCTTAGTAATAGTTTCAGTCGTCACTTGAGCCCTGCACCACCCCGATACAACTCTTAACACAACACAGGTGAGTAATCGAAATTCATCTTGCTATACGAATACGCCCAACGCCACTAGTGCGTTTTGTGGCCGCCTGCCCGGGCGCCTCCTCCTTGACGGACTCTTGCTGACCCTCCTCTCCACTGCCACTAGTATCAGCCTTCTCCTCGGTCTTTCCTCGAACGGCCGCCGTGAAGGCCTTAAAAACACAACACATCCCACAAACGGCCAGGCCGGTGGTCAACCCCACCTTAGCCTCGTTCAACTTCTCATTCTCATCCACGGCTTTCTTTTCCGGTTGCAGCTTCCCAGCCGCAACATTCTTCTGTAGTTCGGTGTAACCGTTGACTATCTCGCGGTTCAACCATCGAGGGAAGTGAGCAGGGACCATAGGCCCAACACCCTCCTCCTGACCATTGGACCTGAGTAGCTCACCTTATCGAGACTACGATCGATCTGACACTCACGCCTTGCTGCCCATAGAGGGTTGGTAGGTGTCTTCCGGCTTGAGAGTCGGCATTGTAGAGTGGGGCAGCCCCTGTGGTAACAGTCCACCAGAAGAACACAGCAACGATCGAGTGATCTCATCCCCAGTCAGTTGGGGGCACTGTAGGAGCCCCTCTGGAAGTAGAATCATCACTAATCGCTCTCAAGGTGGCTCACTATACTCACCGCGATTAGGCCTCTTATTAGCCGCGCTCCCTGCCGGGTTGATCAACTGAATTTGGCACTTACGTTTCTGCCGTCGACCTATCGCCCCCGACATCTCAGCCGTGTTGCATCGTGAGAAGTTGGATACCGCTATAACGTCCATAAGGCCTGGGGGACCAAAGATGCCGAGAAGGAAGAGGACACGGCCAACCTCACCAATCTCATGACGGTTGCTGGCCGTGGCAAGAGCAGAGGCTGATGCTCCTATGGTCTCTGCGATGTACCTGAATCCAATACACTATAATCAAGACTCAGGACCTGATGATGTGCTCTCGGAAATAACCCTGAGTTTCGCCACCACTTCCCCCGAAATGAGATGCGCCTCTGGTTTAGACTAGCCGTGGCTCACCGACGGCCTCAGTATCATCATCAGGCTTTTTGTACCGGCGAATGCTGGTGCCTACCTTTCAACAACGGTAGCCATGAGGTCCAGAGCCCGCTCCTCCACAACGACATCACTGGCCGAGCCAAAGCCCGAATCAGGTGCCTCTGCTGCCGAGGCCAGGGCCAGGCAACACACTCGACGAATCACCGAGTGGCACACCGCTGGGTCCACTGACATTATCTCGATTCACAACACTGCAAAGCTGTTGAGTTCCTCAGTGACACCTCGAGACTATTGAGTTTGTATGAAACAAAACAATTCCGATAGAGCTGGATACAGGGGTTGCCAGGAAGGCATGGGGCATGGATAGTGATCTCACTGGCCAGCCGAGCTGTCCTCTGGGAGTGCTCGCCGTTGTTGTTCCATGAACAACCTGACGGACTCCTGGGCATTCAATGGGTGCTTCTTCTTCTTGGGCCTCGAGCTCGCCCAGGTGGTCTCAGCAGAGGGAAGCCCCCCGACTGACAGTCTGCAACACCCGTTATAAGTGTCTCATGGATCGCACGGCTCTACCTCTTCATCCTCCCAGGACCTGCTCCACGACTATAACGTCTTGCACGCAGACCTGTGAGGCTAGGGTGGGCTGGCTCTTCCTCCTCCTCATCATCATCAGCAACTGATGAAGGCTGTGCAGTATCCCGACCACACGATAGCTACTGAGAGGAGCCTCTTCTGGGTGCACTGAGGGAGTCGGGGTCCTCCATGCGACAACACTTGATCGGTCCTGTGGGGAGATGGGAGGCAGCGGCACTACCTACACCGACTAGGAAGGAGGCAGACTGAGCGGCACTAGTGTTGCACCTGTCCTTTGGCCCCCACGGTGAAGCCTCGTCCACTGCTCGTTGTAGTGTCCATTCGAGATGAGTTGGGAGTCGATCGGTGACTGATGATATCCGGCAGAAGGGAGGAGGAGGAGGGGCCTCCCTCGAGCCCCTCCCCGGGCCCTCCCATAACGTCGTATCGACCACTGGCCGCCCCCTGCAGCAGCATACACCCGGCTCTTTACAAATGCCCAAGTGCCACCACCTGGTCTGTCAACGGGTCTTGAGCAGTATAGGGGAGGACGAGGGAGGGTCTATCCGGGAACTGAAGGCAAACCCATGCTGCGAGGGAGGCCGCCACGACGGTCACCCACCAGAGAGGCGATGCCCTCCTCTGCCCGGAGGATATCGGTCAAGTCAACTATACCCAGGTCCATCGTTGAATCAAGAAGGCCCCCTCCTCTTCTTCGAACGCTGCTGTACCTGGTCCCCGGATATCGGTCGGAAGAGGCAGGCCCCACACCGTCGTCGCTGACGATGACCCCTGAAGAGGGCCTGGATCCTCATGGCTGCCACTACAGCAGATCGGAACTTCATACGCTGCCTGAAGCCACGATAGCAGGACTGTATCTACACGACTGGTATGGGGCCTCAGAGGACCAACCAAGCAACGTGAACGCTGTTGATGGTGGTTGTGGCTAGCTCCTGAGAGCTCCAATCAGAATATGAACGACAAAAATCACATGTAGACATATTCATAATAATTTAACAGACCTTTAGGAGTTGTTGGTGGTATTCAGGATGACCCTAGGATGGCCACAATCCTACTGCTCACCCGTAGTATCCCTAACAAGGCCGCCACCCGCCAGCGTCTACTGCAGAGGCCCCGCCAGTAGGACTGCACTCTGATTGCGGCCCGTCGACGGACCTAAACCCTCCACACTGGGATGCCTCCTACCCCACATGGTCACCTCAGTCTGCCGCTTCCTGACTGCTGCAGAGATGATGGTAACGGCTTGGTCCGCCCTGTGCCACCATCGACTGGGCCCTTCCTCTTTGGACATCCACAGGGCCCTGAACGACCGGTCCACAGCGATTGGATGGTGACCATCTACTCCCTAGCCTCTCCACTGATCAAATCCTCGACCACCATAGCCTCGCGGTTCCGCCAGAGGGCCTTGGTGTAGCTGTAGGGGAGACTAGGGCAGTAGAGAGGCTCTGACAGCCCTACATCCTATAGGCCCTCGAGTCGTGCATGGCCCGGAGCATCCTCCGACCCTCCATCTCCCGCTGACCACAAGGATGCCCGGACCCTGAGACTGATGATGATGAGGACCTACTCGCTCCTCCATCCTCTGGGCAGCAGAGTGATCGTCTGCTAAGCTCATCAGAGACCTCTCTTGGCGTTGCCGTTGGGCCCATGCCCTACAGGCCTGGTCGGCCCATCCCATGGCCCTACGTTCCCAGGCTAGCTCTTTCTGACGAGCCTCTAGTCCTGAGGGGATGCCGACTACTGATTGGAGAGGACCAGCGGCAGTCACTCCTCTGGTAGAGCTCCCATTGGCGTTGTCTCTGGGCACAGGCGTCCTCACTGGCCACCCTTCCACGTTCATGCTCGGTGACTGAGGCCTACAGGGAGGAGACCCAGACCAGGAGCAGTTGAGGGGCTCTACTTGGGCAGCCACCAAGGCGTCCTCTCGGACCATACAACAGAGCTCTCGATATCGGGCTTTGGTATCAGACTGAACCTGTTGGAGGTAGATGCGGACAGCTACCTTTCCAAGTGACGAGGTAAGGACCTCCTCTCGTTTAGGTGGGGGCGCATGGTCACTCCAAGCAATGGTCATATGCTGATCTGCTCGAGGAGTGGTATCATCAAGGTCAGTCGCCTTTCCCTTCTGATAGGATTCGGACAGGGCCGGCAGAGGGCTAGGAGGTAGCGAGCATTCTGAAATGCAGTGCCCTACAGACTCCATAATAGAAAAGGCCATGGCACCGCTCTCAAAGAGGGCCTCCTCTCTCTTCTCCAACACCTCCTCCTCCTTCTCCTCAAGGGCCATCCTCAGTACCTCATCTATCCTACCTAATAACACTCCTACACCCCACCCCGGTACCACGCAGCCTACCTCTAAATTCAGCCCACTCAGGTGTACCGTTCGTCGGATAGTTGCAGGGCTGCCCGATGCCATCCGACAGCCCTTCAACTACTCCTTCCACGTCGCTGGTAGCCTCCAGGTCCACAGCATCTCCACTCGAGGGCCGCACTAGAGGATCCTCACCATCCGAGCCCTCAGGAGAGAGGAGAGGCTCATTCTGCCATGCCTCTCGAAGGGCATGCTTGACCTCAGCCCAGTGCAGGGCCGAGGCATCCCTCCTCGCCCTCCACGCCTCAACACCGTCCCGAGCAGCCTCCTCCCAAGCCGCCCACAGACCCGACAGTTCTTCAACTTCCAGTGGGACCGTCTCCCGTAGTGCTGATACTAGTGGTTCGACAACGTCATCGTCCTCTTCATCTTCCCAGGCGGCTCTAGGGGAGGGTGCCTGAGTCACAGCAGGGCTGCCTACCATCCCGGCCATCGGCCCACCTTGGGTGACACAGTGCCGCTACTACAGCTGAGGACTTCTACGTCCTCAAGAAGAGCCTCCAACAGAGAAGCATTCCCTCTAGCCGTCCCATCAGCTGCCTCCATGGCCAAGTGCAGATGTCTAGGCGGCATGTTCCTGTGGTTTAGGGCCACCCATGACGGGGCCACCAACTGATTAGAGACCCCAAACTGAGAACCCAAAGAGCAACAATGGCTTTATGATACTTTGCGATATGACAATGATGATGTTGATGACGATGATAGTACAAAGGCAAGCTGCCGACACTCTAGAGAGGGGCCTCCGGTGTCGCCGGTGGTCTTACTCGTACGAAGGGCGTGTTGAGAAAGGTGACATGGGGTAATATAATGATTCGAAAACATAACTAGGGTTCACAGATTCAAACTGATGATGATGATGCAGACCTCATCGCCGCTCATGGGTGGTGATGGCAGCAACATAGCCGGGCATAGTCAAAGTGCGGTCTTGTTGAGGTCCACACCAGCCAACTTTACAATAGCGTTGGGGACCTCGATCACTGGGCTGGGGTCTTCCATTGAGGCTAGAGGACCATGGGAAACCTGTGTGACTCGACCGGCCTCGGCAAGCCTGTCCTTTTCTGGTGTCTCCCGGTCCTCATACTCAGTAGCAGCCCTAGAGGAGGCAGTAGTCCTATCAGCTGCTGGGGTAGAGTGAGGTGAATGCTGAGCCTCAAGCCCATGTGGTACTTCGGGAGTCGTCACCTGAAGCACAGGCCAGTCAACGATGATGACGATGATAACGCGGTCCTACACAAGCATCAGTGGTGAGAGGTGTGTCCGCAGCAAGGGCCCCATGGATATCATCTTGAGGGTCACCCTCAGACCCACCATGTATGCATGGTAAGATGACCGGAGGAAGGCTCGATGGTAATACCTACACAACGACAATTTTCAGCTCGATAGGGGCCGGGAGCCCACAGTAGTCCTCTACGTATAACCTCTACCCTGTATTAGTACCACAGTGCCTTTCTTCCGATCAAATTTAGATCCCCTCCGTCGGGCCTTGGCTACGCCGTACTTCATATTACCACCGGGGCCTCGGTAATAGGGATTGTCAATACAGCCATGCGAGAGAGAATACACGCCTTTAATTTGCTCGTACCTAAGAAGGTCCCCATCGTCGCTGGTCCACTAGTTTGGCCCACCCTACGTTGTCTGGGCTGTGAGGACCAAGTAGGTGTGATAGAGAAAGAGCCCTACTGTGAACCACATAAAGAGGGCACAGTAGACCAGCACTACTACAGTCATAGGGCTAGCTTCTACTCCACCTGAATGGGTCTGTACGGGAACCTCAACAGTCCTCCCTTTACTACCTACGAAACCTCCATTGTCGTCGGAGAGAATGACCAAATGGGCTACTGACAGGCCCAGCCCGAACAGCGTCAACGCAGCTGTGCAGGTGATGAAAGAATAAAATATCCTGAGAATAATTGCGGTAGGGCTGGTAGCATAAAGTAATGGTAGTACCGGTAATTGCCGCCCCCTATACAAGTACCGACCCACGGACAATGGTGATCGAATCTTGTCACGCAGGTATCACAGGTCCCACAATGGGTGGCCCTCGGGGGCCGATAGAGGTGGCAGGTATGGCAATACCTATTAGCTCGATTAGCATAGACCGTACTAATGGGGCCGCCTACTTCAATCGGAAAGGGTGGTTGCTAAGGACGCAGTCTTGAAATCGAGGAGGGGCTCGAAACCGTTTCTGAGAGGTTACGTGGGGATGATACAGAATAGGGGGATGATTAGCGTACCTCTCCAGTGGCTGGGTCCTCATAGGCCCCATGAGACTCTAATCGTGGTAGGATACCAGGATCAGAGTATATGGTCTTGAATAGGAGGTATAGGGTTATCACTTCTAGTATTACCAGAACCACCATCACACCAACGTTGAAATCCTGATAAGGAGATTTATAAGATCCTCCCATAGAGAGTGTGCGCAGGTAACGATATGTGCTGTTTTCTATAATGGGAGTGTATTCAAAGCACGTTGGTGCTCTGTGGGCAGCAACATGTCGAGCTCATACTCTCTCCGCCATCTGCCAGGCGGGTGACCAACAGATAGGGGGGTTGGCGGTTGGCTAGGCCGAACAGGAGACCAGCACTTGAACACTGAGTTATTTCATAGAACGCATCTTCAGTGGAGTATCATTCAGCACATGATTAAAAAACTTATGTTCACGTACATGACCCGAAATTCCCTTCCCCGGGTGACCTACTGGAGCAACGAAGACGTCCAGAAGCACAGACGGTGCCAGAATTGCAATAAAACTGCCATAACCCTGCTTCCATTCAGGACTGAGGAGGAGGAGGGTTGATAGGAGAGAACACTGATAATACTTCCTACCCGCTGACACAGCAGCCGTTCAACCATATCTTGACGTCGCCATAGCACGGCTCAGTAACGTAGGAGACTCTTATATCCTCCTCGCTGATCCCCATGGGGTCCTTCGTAGAGAAGGATGATGCCACTCCTAAGGGGCCCAGGTCCCCTATCGCAGCCACTGGAGCGATAATACCTGCGTTATCCTTATCGCCCTCTTGTCGTGGTCTGTGGTCGCCATCGGGTAACGGCGTACCGTCACCGATTACTGTCATAATACAATCTTTGCTCTGCTAGCGAGAATAGGAGCACTCCACAAATGGAAAAGGTAGGCTTTGTCTCACCACGATTAGTCAGGAACTGGCCTATGGAGTGACCCGGGTTCGAATCCCACACTCTACATTATTCTGCCATAAATTCGATATGGTGCTAGGTGGTCCAGACCGTAGCAAAAAGTGGTCCAGAGGGTAGCACTCGGAAAAATGCTTATATTTTTTAGAGGTCTCGCGGGCCTCCGGCCCGCTCTTACAGACACGCGACCTTGTCCCCGTAGCTGGCCGATTAAGTCATCAA